GGGGGGGGGCTAAATAGAGGATTTACGGTAGCTTAGAAAATAATTATTGATATTTCCAACCAAAATTCTAAATTAACAGCCATTCTTACTTTGACAGTGTTTTGCTTATGTCCAATAAAATATTTTCCCATTTTGATCTTCTGAAATACCAGATCCTTGCTGTTCCATCTTTAGAGCCACTCAAGAACTTCTCACCATTGTGACTGAACTGAATGCTATCAACATGATCCTAAGACAAAATCAAAGAATTTGTCATGCTTTTTCTGTAACCAACAAAGGTCCAGAAAAAGAATAAGTGAGAGGAAAAAAAATGAACAGAAGAAGAAATGGAATGCATGGATCAGTTAAATTACTTACAGTATGCACATCCAGTTCTGCCATTTTTTCTGGAGGACCTGGAGTCATTTGATACATTCTAATGATGTGGTCAGTACTTCCAGCAACAAGAAAGCTTCCTCCTACAGACACATTAGTTTATGACAAATAAGTATTTACATTTTGTGGGTAAATTGCAAAGATTATGACCAATAAAATGATGATAAAAGGGGCTAAAATAATAGACAGTCATCAGACAATTATTTCTGTGGAGAATTTAGGAACTTGTCCAGTCAAATCTTTGCCTTGTCAGTAATTTTGACCAGTAACAATATGCCAGAAATGAGATAATAGCAAGCTAAAAACATTTGGCTGGTCATCATGGCCAGTGACTTACCTGACGTTACTTAAAGCCCTGTCATGTATATAGGTTGTTATAGGTCTAACTATAATAATTCAGTAAGAAAACTAGTTGTAAAAGACAACATTTCGCTGTCATCTCAACAACATCATCAGGTCTAATGAAAACTGTAAACTCTACTATATGTAAATATAGCTAAAGGAAGTGTGACAGTTCAATGACTAACAATGAAATAGAATTAAATCAAGTGGAAACATGACAATAAAAGCACATAACAATGATTGTTTGTTAAGTTCTGGTTTAACGTCTTTGATGTATAGCATAGTGAGATCAAGCAATCAAGTTTTACTCTGCTTTACTTCTAACTACAAAGTTGCTGTCAATATTATTTCAATATTATATATTGATAGTTGTCATTTACAACTAGTCTTCTTACTAAATTGTATACCTAAAATTACCTTTATCAAGACTATAATGATTACCTGGACTAAATGAAGAGCAAACCATCTGTGTCCCTGGTCTTGTCTTCTCCATAAATCGAACAGGAACAAGACTAACAAACCAAGAAGAAAATATACAAAACATTAATCATGAAGTCACTATAATAGCCAGCCCTGAAAAATAGCAAATGTCACTTACTCAAAGGTTAGGTTTGTTGCTTCCCACTTCCAAAAGCAAACAGTACCATCTGCACCAGTAGACATTAGATACCTAATGAATGATCATGACATATGATTAATATACCTTTATTGATGATATCATGTAAGCTACTACTCTTTCCAGTACACCATGGCAGTTGTGATTTTTTCATCACCTTTGTACATCTGTTATATGTTAGCCACAAGTGCATTTCAAATCAACCATGTGATGCCAATGAAGAGCAGTCAAGTTTTTATCATATGGTGCAAAAAACGTGTACACATGGTACAACATTGGTCATGTGTTTGATATAAATGCATATGCAGTTAACATAACGAGCACTAAAGAGGCAATAAAAAATGGTGGCTGCCTCAGTCTATTGGGAAGAATTGTATGAATGATTGCAAAATACTAGAACAATATGTACCTTGATTCCTTCAGTGGAGATGGACAAAACTGTATGAATAAAAAAATGATATGCAATTAACATGTTCACCATACAATACACAATATACTGATCCATTACTGCTAAAATCATTGACTTACTGCAAGTGATGTTATCATGCCAGTATGTCCTTGGAGGATTGCTACTGGGTAAGTCGTCTTCAGCGACCACACTCTTATTATCTGATAGTACAAGAACAATTTGTCAAACAGCTTGAATAATAAATACTAAAACCAAATGTTCATCAGTCAAATTAAAAATATAAACAAAAAAGGGGAAAGATTTATTCACCTTGTCACAGCTACCTGCAGCAACCAGAGTGTTCTCATAGTTGATTGCGATATCAGTTATTTCAGCCTGATGGCCTCGTAAGGTGGCCAATAGCCGACCATCTCTRGTGGACCATATCTTGACCAAGCTATCATCAGCACCCTTTTGATTTAATTAGGGAAAACTTAACACTTTGATTTTCAAAATAAACCATGTGTAAAATTCAAACTTACTGTAATAATACAGCGTCCGGTCCGATCAAACAATACACAGTACACTGCTGATAAATGACCCAGAATCCTGCGATGCTGTAACAGAATCAGTTGCAACATGTCAATAGATTTATAATGAATGTCAATACATTATTTACATATTCCACTGTAAAAGATAACTCAAATAAAAAAAGACTGTCACAAATTTATTTACATGTAAGGGTGAGAGTGTGAGAATGGGTGAGCTTACATTAGTCCCTCAGAAACATTACTGGTACTTAAAATGTAACCTATTCAAGAAAATAGTATGAATTAAATAAGTATGGCAGAACTCGGGGGGGGGGGGGCCTCCCAATAAAAGGGGGTGAGGTCCTTGTCATCTCTTTTAGCGTTTGAAATTAGGGTTTTGGTCCCGCTTAGGGTGATAACGACGGGAATGCGCACCAACTGAATATTGTGGTCTCTTTTAGGTTAAGAGATCAACAACAGGCTTCTTTTCAAAGATTGATCTTATTTTAATCTCATTTTCGGATAGTGTCACTGACACTTATCAGCAAAAGAGATTACATTTACTTTTGATGATGACCAACTTAAGTTAATGGCCTCACATCTTGTCAACTACAAAAAGGCAAGCGATTTGTATATGACAACCTTAATGCAAACAAAATCGAGAAACCAAACAAAAAAATGTGTTATAGATTGGTCCTTCTTAAGGGTGAAATTTCATCACTGCCACGCCCATCATCCCGAAATACAGGTCCCTTAAATGTTTCATTTTCGGAATTTCCAACGAGGACCCCTGCCCCCTTTGATAAGGGAGTTCCCCCCCTCGGAGTCAGAACATTAGTTTGTCTTCATCACTTGCAAATCTAACTTGATTTTAGAACCCATGACAGTATGCTAATCAATTCTAACAGCATTTAAGTGATAGTGTAAGATCACATTACAAGGTTTGATAGTTAATGATATAACATCAAGCTGCTAGTAGTGTTATTTCAATTACCATAGTTTGTTTGCTGTAAGTATTTGGTTGAGCCAGAAGTCTCTTGTTTTTAAAACCACTGATTTCTCGACTAATTATACTCTGAGCTAGAAGAATAAAGAAAAATATATAGATATAAATATTTTTGTGGTACTAGTCAACAATACTCACTGTCAGTCGTTTATTGAGGGATCAAGGGACAAGGGATGTCAGATAAATAAGAGACAGCTAATTATCAATATTATTCTAGCTGTCTCTTGTGTATTTGATGTCACCATATAAAGAAAGAAATAAATGCATTGAATAATTATTAATAAAGATAATCTCATATTGTAAACAGGTTATACCTAGATTAGGACACAGTCCCTTTTCATCAATAGGGGGTAGTAAAGGTGCTCCATTTTGAGAGGCAGCCAGTGACAGACAGGTAGGTCTTACAGTTTCTGTATCAAGAAAATTTTACAGAATACCAGCATGAGCAGACAAATAGATATCAAACAAAAATAAAATATGAATATAAATGGAACTTGAAAATAAGTTTCTAAATTGAAAAATGATAAAAAATGTGGGAAGGGGAAAAAAAGTTTCTGACGTCAAGGTCTGGATAAGGAAAAAATGTGTCTGAGGTCTTGAATATATGCTTTGAGGCCATTAGGTTGAGGTCTGTTTTTAAGACCGAGGGCACAGTTTTCCCTATCTGGACCCATTTTGATAAATAATGATGATAAATAATTTTTTTCCCTTTTACATTTCCACTCATTTTGTAAATTTTCGTGATTGTTTGACACTGCGTTATTCCATGGGCATGGAAGCTGATAGCATAAGAAGCCAGGATACCAAACTGCAGACAGAAATAGATAATACTGCCCACTAGTGCAGCCAATCAAGACAAATGACTTTTTGGATACCAGACAAAAAAAAAATTCTGTATATTACTATATAATTAATATTTATGGTTGGAATCTCAAATTCCAGTTGATCTAGAGTCTGTCAATGTAAGTAAGGAGAGACATATTTATAATGTCATTTGCATAATTATATAATTTATATAATAGATTAACATCAAGGAATATAGGTTGACCTGATCCACTTCGAAGTAATGACTGCCTTCCAGCACCAAGCAGAGAGCAGACACCTTTAACACTGGATGGTACACATTTTTCAAGTAAAGGACCAATGCGAGAGCATATTTGAACCAAAAAATCATCATTGATGTGTGTGTTTTGATTTACCTGAGAAACAAGAGAAAAAATCTTCATGAAAAGCAACTTGGTTAGCAGAAAATAGATAACCCAAGGTTCTATTATGTGAGCCTTTCAAGAGTCCTTTTTACTAGCTGAAGATTTTCATTTTACATGGTTTAAAGAAATTAAAGAAATCAATATTATAACAATCATCAATGTGCATGTTTTATTAAAATTGTTAAAAAATATAACTCAAAATATACTAGAATTAAGTTTAAAGTTACTGAGGTTTGACAGAATTTTATTGGGAAAACATGAAAGGAATGACTCCAAAAATCTTTAAAATGTTATTCCATTAAATAAAACAGAATTTTTCGTGACTTCAAATATGCAAATCAGTGGCTGCTTGTGATCGCCCACGCGTACGAATCGAATACGAAATTGACATAAGAGATCAATCATGACAGATAAAGGGTTTCTGATGTAGACCGCCTTGGCTTGTGATTGGCTGAAACGTCTTGCAGGTCATAAATCTATTCAAGAGGAAACACTAGACAAAGGCTTGTGGCATGCGTAATGAGTATTCATATGCCAAGCTAAGCCCGAATTTCATAATCACATATGCGAGGCAAAAAGAGCTGTTCTCTAGAAGCTCAAAAAACCCTATTCCCAAAACTGGTCTTTTGCACCGAAATCAAACACATTTTGACTTGACCTCCCCGAATTTCTCAAAACCAAGTTCGATTTGGAATAAAAAAGAAATCAGATGATTTTCGGTTCTTAAAGCGTTGAGATACGTATTAAAGTGTTGTGTAGGAGAAAGAGGGGTGTTTGTACCATTTCTTGGAAGGTTTGGGGATGGTAGTTGCCTTTCCAGTCCAAACGTTGACACAAGAGCTGTAAATGAAAGAGGCAAAGACAAGGTTCTCATAAACATTGCATACATTTAATTCCATTGTTAGGAGTTCATGGTATAGCGCATCTGGTAATAACAGTATGCCATACAGACTCTAAAACCCCAAAATACATGAATAAGGGTGTAAGATTGGCTCTGTCTAAGGATGTTTAATGGACAGGGGTACTCACTCCGTACTCGCCGAGTTCTTCCAATAATGCCTACGACACAGAACAAAAACATTTTAGTCAAAACTCAAACCACATTTTCAACTGAAATTTTGCACTTACTTTGGCTGAACGCTGACATGGACCACTCATTAACAACTTAGCAATAAGGAAGTATAATTCTGTGGAAATTTGGACACAAATTAGGCGTGTATTTTGACCAGGGGAACGACCTGAAATGAAGCCGAATTCGAACTTACCTCGCCGTAGATTTTCTTGGGCAGAATCCATTTTTGAAGTACAGTAGTTGTTCATTGATACCCTCTGAAGTATTTACAGTTCATTTCAATGTCCTATAATGATTTTCAGGATCCTTAAGTTTACAAATAATGAAGACGGTTAAAGCGTGACATGGCGGCAAACAGCCCTGAACTCTTCTTTGTCATGACATCACTTTTATCACCAAGGTGTGGGGGCACAACCTACAAGTACGACGTACCTGATTGGATAATCTACCGCACAGCAAAAAGGCCTTTATTCTTTGATTTTTTGTCCCTATATACTTTTACAGCCATAAGAATTTTTTTACGCAAAATGTTTTTCTTTTAATTGGTTTTATYAGAGTTTTATTGAATAAGTTTAAAAATGAAAAGAAATAAAGCACAGATATTGGGGTTTGCTTTTAACCAATCAAAAGAGCGGATGTTAGGATGTTGTTTAAGATTAGAAAGGAATCTTGAAACAAGCGCATGCTCACACATAATCAATTTCCAACACGAAACTGTTTTTTGGGGTTTTCTAACGAGTAAGTTTTTCTAGGTTTCCTGATGTCCTGGTTCAAGGATAAGCGGAATACAAGCTGTATAAGAAACTTTTGTAGCAGTGTTCTGAAAACCGGTGAAATTCCCAAGCATGTTGCTATCATAATGGACGGTAATCGACGTTTTGCCAAGAAAGTGAATTGTGAAAGGTCCAAAGGACATGAAAAGGGTTTTGAAAAACTTACTGAGGTAAATATTCTGGTTTTAACCAGTTCTTACAGTCTTGATAACTATTTGCTGTGATCAAGTGAGGTGAAATATGTCAAGACCACCGATCAAAACACAATATTTGTACGTTCTAAAACTAAGCTGATCTATAGTCCAGTTTAATAATAAGCTTAATGATAGATTTTAAATTTGATATCGTTATATATTGGTATACTATCTACATTATCCAATGAAGGAAGATTTTAAGCTCTCTTCAAGGTACATCTAAGTAGCTGTATATTTTGTATTGTGTTTATTATAGGTCTTAGAATGGTGTTTTGAGTTAGGGATCCCAGAAGTTACTGTCTATGCATTCAGCATTGAAAACTTTAAACGTTCTAAAGAAGAAGTTGATGGTTTAATGTGTTTGGCAAAGCAAAAGTTTGAAAGGTTGCTGGAAGAAAGGTGGGTAGTCATTTTTTTGAAGAATAAATGTTTATGTTTTAATCATAATTCTAGATGAAAGTATGTACCATAAATCTTGCTTTGTGATTGATTGAACCAAAAATCAGTTATTGTTATTCTATAAATCAGTTGGCAGAACACTTGTGCAATGCACTACATACTGTACGTCTCTCATGATTAGCAAATCCTTGCATTTATACTATATAACTGTTCCCCCCCATCAAGATACCCACCCAACCACAAAGCTGCATATTGAATAATAGGTTTAAGTGTAATTTTAGACTTGAATAGAGTTTCTCAAGCTGTGATTGGTCAAGCGACCAGGTTTTCCAAAGTTTTCCAGATCGAAAGTAATGTTAAAACGTTTTTTATCCTGAATTTCAACTTTTCTCTGCTATTCAAGTCTACAATTGTACTACTACTACTACTACTAMTAAACTTTATTAACTGAAACAATTATTCTACTCAGGCTCAGTGATTATGGGGATATTTTTACATCACTGCTAGAAGAATGGTGGCTCAGTAAATATTCTACTGATAATCACTTCGCCTTTGATGAATAATTTGTTTATTTTTTGTTTCTCAGGGAAATGATGGATAAACATGGGGTTCGTGTACGTGTTGTTGGTGACCTTACCATGCTTCCACAAGACTTACAGAAGTCAATTGCCAAGGCAGTCAGTTTCTCCCAACACAACACTAAGTATGATACTTCTAAGCTATGCTTGAAGGTGTATCTTTCTTTAACATTGACCATTGATCTGCTAAAGTTGGAACAATAACGTAAAAAATAAGTAAACATTTACTATTTGCATTTTAGGGCTACATTAAATGTTTGCCTAGCTTACACATCTAGACATGAAATAGCTGAAGCCGTGAAGCAACTAGCAGAAGGAGTTCAACAAGGTCTACTAAAACCAAGGTACATTACTGTATATACCACACATTAATGTGCTAGAATGCAAAATGGGTCCCAGAATTACTGGTCAGCATTATCCTTAAACCATTGGCCATGTCAGACATTGGGTTGATCAGTCCTTATTCTTCTTTGGATATATTTTGGATTGAGATGATTGAAAACAAGATGCTGATGATCGAAAACAAGTTATTTTTACAATGCAGTGCACCTAACCGTGGTCACCCAACTCATTATTTTACTAATTCGCCCAATCAGACATCCAGAATTTGAAAACTTATTTTGTACTCGTTGCAACAAAAACTCAAATAAATGACTAAGAATTTGCCTAGGTGTCGTACCTATTTAAGTCCTTTTGCTGGCTAACACTGGACTCTTTCTTTAAAAGTCTTTTAAATAGATGAAAACGCTTGACAAGAAAGGATTCAACGGCATTCGTAAAAAATAAGTTGGAAACCACCTCCAAATTTTCGAGGGTAAATCACTTGGGAAACTGTTCATCATCATTTCCTGTAACATTTTAATTCAATTAACATTGTAATTCATTATCTTGACAGCGATGTGAGTGAATCTTTGCTTGAGAAGTGTCTGTATACTCACGGTTCTCCTCATCCAGATATGTTAATTAGAACATCTGGAGAAGTGCGCTTAAGTGATTTTCTTTTATGGCAGGTATGCTGTGACTATCTATGTTTCTCTTTATTCAATATAATTTGTTCTATTCCAAACAATCTCTTTCAATAATTGTAGAGTTCAAAGACGTTTTTTTTCCTTGTGCAGTACTATTAATTATTTTTTTCATTGTCCTTCATTGGTTCCCTCCTTAAGCAACTAAAACAAATGCACCTTGGAGTTTTTAAAGGTCGCAGGGAGTGTGTGCAGGACTTGGACCATCATCATTGTTTACTAACAATCTTCTGTATTAACTTTCTTTCAGTGCTCTTATTCGTGTTTGTCCTTTAAAAAGGTTTTGTGGCCAGAGTTTTCTGTTTGGAACTTTTATTCATCCATATTGTCATATCAATGGAACTATCAGAGCTTTAAGGTTAGCAATACATATTGGGTTGCCTATCAGTAGGGCTTTCTAAAAAAAATATCAGAGATGGTATCCCATAATTTGTAATAAATTTTTGATATACTGTTGTGTATAAACAAAAGGTCAGAATTTCAACATTTGCAAAAATTATGGCCGTTTCAAATATACATACAAGTATATCAAAAGTATATCAGACACGAAGGGATATCTTTCTTGATATTTTTTTCAGAAAGTCCTAGTGATAGACAACTTGAAAAAAGTATTGGGGATGATATCCCATACTGTAACTTTTGATATGCTTTTGATATGCTGTTTTAATTAACTTGTGTAGTTTTTCTTTGTGGATATGTTTACATAATAAAAAGAGAATTACACGTTGGCTTGAAGATAAATTTATTTTCTCATGTTTAAAAATATTTCAGTCAAAAATAAACTTCATATCTTCGCACCATCGTGTAATATCCTATATATATATATATATATATAATATATATACAGCCATTTGCAAAAATTATGGCCGCTTCCAATATATATACAAGTATATCAAAAGCATATCAAAAATTATGGGAAATCACCCCTTATATTTTTTTCGAGTTGTCTATCACTAGGGCTTTCTGAAAAAATATCAAGAAAGATATCC